GCAAGTCCATTCAAGGGAGGGAGGGCGAGTTAGCCATAATTAAAGGGGATTTTTATCCAGGGGATGCTTTAAGGGATAGTGACAGTTAAGGGAGTTAAGCCTTGAAGCTACTCCTAAGTAACTTGGCAATTCATATTGGGGTGATCCATTTGTTACCCTTTAACTTGAATTACCTTTAACGGGCTTGGTTGGTCTCGATCCAACATCTTCCAACTTGACAAGTTGAAGCTTTCCCATTAAGCTACAGGCCCAATGACTTAAGCAAACCGGGATTTTTGTAGGTTTGAACCTGATTCTAGCTAGCCCCTTATTTTAACCCAGCAAGGAGGTAAGTTTACTCTATAACAAGGAGGACAGCTTATATGAAAGGCTAAGGGTAAAGAAGAAGGCATTCTACCTATCTATCTCTGCTAAAGTTGGGTTAGGGTAAAGTAGCTTAATCTAATGGTTTTTGGGTCAAATGGGGCTGAAGTTCAGGCAAGTTTGGTTAAACTTCTTAAGAAGGAATAAGGGTGGGGGCTTCAGAGAAGCCCGGCCTTTAGGCCCCACACGCTTGCTAGGAACAAAGAGGGAATCCTTCATAGAAGGAGCTTACTTACTAATAACAAGGGGCTAGCTAGCCTCTATTAAGGATTTCCTAGTAAGAAGGAGGGAGTGTGATACATGGAAGGAACCTGTAGGCTAACCAAAGCTGTAGCCGGGCTAGCTAGAAATAAGGAAAGAATCACTGATGCATTTAGCCACTCTTCACCTTTAACCAATAAAATGACGTTAGCTTTACAGCCGCGATTAAGGCCAAAGGTGTAAAGATCAAAGGAAGATTAACAGAGCGCAGGTAAAATCCCCTAGGAGAATCAATAGGAATATGTACATTTGAAATGTAGTTATGGACAACTTCTTGGATACCTCGATTAAGAGGGTTTCTTACATTATCTTGTATGGTTTAGAATCTCTTTCAGTCGAGGGGAGTTAGCTCATTTAAATTGGTGGCTCATACTAATCTAGTGAGCCATGAACCCATTTGAGGAGCCACTTCAGAATTCTTCTATCTGCCAGCTTATGGCATACCATAGATAGGACAAAACACAGGCTGTTAGGGGAATTTTGATGACACACAGATATCTGTTAGATCAGGGTGCTCTAAA